CATGAGGGACTTCAAGGGAGAAATTCAAGAGTTGATCAACAAGAAGCCGCCTGCTCTGGACAAGGAGCAGTCGGCTAAGAAACCCTCCACTTCACAGAAGAGGAAGCCAGTTCAAGGGCGAGAGGCGACCCCTCATCCTAAATCTAGGAAGCGGGAGCCACATGCCCTTGATTTCACAAAATACCATTTTCCTACTCCAGGAAATAGGAAACCTGTTCGTCATATTCAGGCGGACGGGTCGAGGAAAACATACACAGACGCTCGGCTACTGCTAGAGCAGAAGAAGAGTGACCGATTGTCAGAGTCGGCCTCTACTTCAAACCTCCAAGACAGTCTGCGAAATACCTCGATGAGGCATACTCAGTCGTATCATGAGAGTCAGTCAGGCGGCACCTCCCGTCAGTCCGGCTATCACAGCGACCAGGCGGTACCAAACTTACCGTTTGTACCGCAACAACAGTATTTTTTACAGCCACCTCCGTTTAGTGGACATGCAGCAAAAAACGTCCAACCTATGGACTGGCAGCTACGGTTGCTTAGACTTGGCGAACAGCCGTCGGCCTTCTCCAAGGAAATTACTGAAGCCGCCCAGCCGGCCAAAGTGAAAAATGTATTAGTAGGCACCTATGACGGCACTACTAACCCAGAAGACCATCTGATGGCATTCACCAACCTGATGTACCTTCAAGGGTTGGATGATCCCACTTGGTGCAAGTGTTTCCCAGCGACTCTCAAAGGAATCGCACAACAATGGTTCGGCAACCTGCCGACTGGTTGTGTAAATAGCTTCAAGACGCTTGCTTACTTATTCACCTCCAACTTCGCCATGAACATCCCTGCGAAGAAGACGACCCTTGATTTAGGAACAATTCAGCAGGGCGAGAAGGAGGGGCTTCGTTCTTACATCAGGCGGTTTAACCTGATGAAAATGCAGATTCAAGGGTTACCGGATGAAGTAGCCTATACTGACTTTTTCAGAGGTCTCAAAGACGGGTCGACCTTCAAATTTGATTTGGTCCGAAAGAGGGTGGCGACTCTTCAAGAGGCCTTGATTGAAGCGGAAGCTTATATACAGGCGACTGATCTTTGTAGTACGGTAAAACAGTCAGACGGGAGAAGGTCTGACAAAAGAGAAGGACGACAGAAACAGTCGTCAAACAAAGACGAGAAGAGAAGAGAAAACAGCCGGCCTAGAAAAAGAAAAAAGAATTCAAACCATACTCCCCAAAGTATGCGTTTAACAAGGATAGCCAATTTATCCTAAAGGAAATCAAGGGACGGATCTCAATTGAGAAGCCGGTCCCCATGAAGGGTTCTGCAAACAACCGGAACCAAGAGAAATTCTGTGATTATCATGAAGATGTTGGTCATCACACCAATGAATGTATCAGTCTCATGCGGTATCTGGACCGCCTGGCTGAGCAAGGTGATCTTGACACTTATGTCAAGAAATCTACGGGGAACACTTCCTCGAAAAAGCAGTCGGCCAAAAAGAATCAATAGGCCGACAGTTCCGATACAGATGATGTAGTCGTCTACACCATTGCAGGCGGCTTCTCAGGAGGCGGCCCCACTATTAGGGGCAACAAAGACAATATCAGACGGTTAGATGTAAATTCCGTTCACCAAGAACGGCCCTCCAAATATTCATTTCCTGAGATTGTCATCACTGAAGAAGATCTAGGAGGGGTAAGAGGGCCGCATGACGACCCTATCGTTATTGAATGTAAAGTAGCCAACCAGAGAGTAGGCCGAATCCTCATAGATACCGGAAGCTCCTCAGATCTCATCAGTAGCAAATGTCTGTCGAAACTAAAATATCAGACTGATTGCATACATCCGGCATCCCACCCTTTAGTAGGGTTTGGAGGAGGAGTCGTCCACCCAGTGGGACGAGTGGATTTACCCATCCGCCTGGGCGAAAAAAGGGGAAGGACGACACATGGTAGTCTGGTTCCTGGTAGTAGAAGAACTCTCGGCCTACAACATGATTCTGGGACGACCAACCCTGAATAATTCCAAGGCTGTTATAATCCCATCTCTTATGTTGCTCAAGTTTGAGAGGGATAATGGAACAGTCGGGTCCCTAAGGGGAGATCAGAGGATGGCCCGAGAGTGCTATCTCTCGGATGTCAAGCCCACTGTTATGGCCACTATGTCGAGCGGTGGAAAAATAGACCTTGACAATGTCAAGGAGAGTGCGCCTGTTCAAGAAGCAGGCGGCAAGAAGAGAAAGGCATCCCAGACAGGGGCCGCAAGAAAAGACAGAAAATAGCAATCATTGGCAGAGGAGCGGTCGGATGAATTCCGCCCTCAGCCAGCTGGTGAGCATACGGACCTGATGTTAGATGACTCGCGTCCTGACAGAACAATCAAGGTTGGGACGACTGCTCTAAGGGACCTGGGTGACGACTTTCACAAACTATTGAAAGAATACAAGGACATCTTTGCATTCGAAGTCCATGAAATGCCAGGCATTAGTCCTGATCTGGCGGTACATAAACTGGCCGTGGATCCGAAAAAGAAGCCGGTACGGCAGAAGAAGCGGAACCATGGCGAAGAAAGAAGTCAGGCGGCAGCCGCCGAAGTTAAAAAATTACTTGATGCAGGGTTCATTCGGCAATGTTACTTCCCAGACTGGGTTGCAAATGTGGTGCTTGTTAAAAAGCCGAATGACACCTGGCGAATGTGTGTAGACTACACAGACTTAAACAAGGCGTGCCCAAAGACATTTACCCTCTGCCTAAAATTGATAACCTGGTCGACTCAACAGCCGGCCATGCTTTGATGAGCTTTATGGACGCCAAATCTGGTTTCCATCAATTTCCTTTATGGGAGAAAGATCAGGGGAAGACGGCCTTCGTCACTGATCAGGGGTTATACTGTTACACGGTCATGCCGTTTGGTCTTAAGAATGCCCCAACCACTTTCCAGCGAATGATAAACACTGTGTTCTTTGATCAGATTGGGAGAAATGTCGAGGCATATATTGATGATATGATTGTCAAGTCTAAACTTCAGAAAGATCATCTGTCGGACCTCTGAGAAACTTTCTCCACACTCAGGCGACACCATGTCATGCTTAATCCCAAGAAATGTGTCTTTGGAGTTGAGTCTGGGAAATTTCTCGGATTCCTTATCAA